AATAATTTATTATACTTATTAGGTGTCTAAATTATTTATTTTTATTTAGTCTTAAATTTGAAATATATATAATATAAGTATGTTTCCATTTAATCTTGGCAATTTTCTGTTATTAATTTCATATCTATAAACATTGTTCTTTTGATTTAAATTTAAAGACATGAAGTATAAATTTTTGCATTTACCGTATATTATATACAATTAAAATGATTAGAATATAATAGGTATTTAATTATTTTTCAAACATTTAAGAGACCAACATTTTTATTTGTTCTAACTTATGTACTTAAATTGTTATAATTATGCATTCATTAAACACAAATGTACTTGCTTGTAATGACATTAAATAGCAATAAACATGGAATTTTTAAATAGCAAATGTCAAAATAGTTATATTTTTGTATTTCTGTATCTAATTAGGTATTTAGATGATTTTAATGATGGCTAAATAAATACAATTCCCAAAAAGTTTATTTGTACTTGTATGTATCCTTTTTTTTTTTTTTTTTAGTTAGAACTACCTACAAATAATGTAATTACCTATAAAAACCTACTTAGTATAATTATTTATGATAAAAACCCATGTTGATCTAAACTTCAATCTTAAATAGTTTATTTATTAATTGTTATTATTTATTGTTAGTTATTATTTCTAAATATAGTATTTTAAAAAGATTGTTTATGACAAAATTAATTAGTATGTATCTAACATTCCTTATTAATTATAAATTAAAAATAGTTAAAAAAGAGTTCATTTTAAAAATATTGATATTTTAATGTATTAATAACTACAGTTTATTAACACATTATACCTAAATAAGTTTTAAGTTTTAGTACTATTAAAGTTATTACTAACATTATTGTTATTAATTAACCATTTAATATTCAGTTTCTAAATTAAAAACAAGATAAGATATTTTAGTTGTTTTGTTTTACAAAAACTCTAAAAAATAAATAAAATATTTTTTTATGCATTTTGTAAATCTATTATATTTATTTAAGTATATTATATTTTTTAAACTATTAGTAAGTTTATAGCATATGTTTATTTTTATTTTTTTATTATTATTATTTTATAAAATTATAATTAATAAAATGTGTTAAATAAATGAATATATAATATCTAGTGACTGCTCTGAGTAATACTTATTCATTTATTAAACACCAATATTGTATATTTATGTTAACAATTCTATAAGTACTATTACAAGCAGAAATTTAAAAAAAAAAGATTTTATGAGCTCATCAAGGTTTTATAGGTTTTTATAATTTTTAATTTCTATATTTTTCATTGAATAATACATTTTGATAGTAGGTAATAAAATTAGGTATACCCTTTGGAATCCAATAATTTGGTTTCAAAGTAATTAAGGTCCCTCAAAAGTTTTAGTCTTAGGACTTTTTTTAAATCTAGTATCTATTTAATTTTCAGAAAAATTAAATAAAACTAATATTTTTTCTTGGCCCTGATAACATTAAGGTTATGTTTTAAGAATGTTAAGTAAAATGGAATTTGTCTAAAGAGGAAATATAATTCATTCCTCACTTATTATTTGTAGTGATCACTTAAAAAACAGGTGAAGCAAGTAAAGATACCTTTTCTTTCTGTCTATATTTTAGACTTAGGTGTCTAGTGTTAACACTGGTTCAAGACATTATCAGCATCTATGCACTGTACTGTTCTATATGGTACTACTGACATAATTTAACATGGAATTAAAAAAATAATTTCATTTTAAACTATTAAAAAAAAACGGTTTGTCCTTAAAATTGGTGATTTTATAATGTCAATTTTTGTATTAAGCATTTTAAAGATTTAAGTGTTTGCTTAAAATATATTTTACTTTATTATAATATACTTAAAAAAACTGTTTGCATGATAAAATAACTAATTCATATGCCTCATACTGTGATTGTCATCAAAATCTATGTTTCTTAATCATATGTTTATTTTCACTTTTACAATTCATTGAATTTACAAAAAAAGTTAAAAGTTATCATAAAAATCATTTCACTGTGATTAATCATACTCACATAAGTAACATTCGATATAATTAACTAGTTATTATGTTGGGGTACCTACATATTTACATATATATTTATACATGTATATTAATAATATTAACATTTACCATTTGATTAGCTAAATGCTATCAAATTATCATTAATTATCATTAAATTGTTTAAAATGAATTCCTATCAAACTCAATTCGTTCATGTTTATAAACGAAAATAAGTTGATTCATTTTTTTTTATGTGCATGCTTTCAGGCTATTAATCCGGTTTATCATACAGGGATTGAATGTTATTTATTCGAAGACTAGTATTTAGAAGTAGTATACAATCCCAATCGCGTGTGTTTTGCAGAACAATGTCGGGTGTGTTTGTTTACATATATTGTATTTTTATCATATGCTTTTTGCTACTTTTTTTTTATTATTTCATTAATATACATTTATATTTTTTCTAATGCTTTAAAAATATATTCATTCATAAACTTCCTCATTTTTGTTTTTATATGTTGATAACTATTTAATTTATTTACAGGTTCCAATGAAAATGTTATCGAACAAATTGTGTGTAAAGAAAATGATATTCCTAATAATGGGTAAATTTTACATATGATTTAAAATTACTAATAATCATTACATATAATGTTAATAATAAAAACTTAATAGAATGCAGGAATTCGAGATCGGAAACAATGGAAATAAAATTTTAGTTGTAAAACAAAACAATGAATTTTTTGCTGTTGGATCAAAATGTTCTCATTATGGTGCACCTTTAGTCAAAGGAGCTCTAGGAAATGGTGTAGTAAGATGTCCTTGGCATGGTGCTTGTTTCGACTTGAAAACTGGTAAAAATAATTCTTTTAAAACATGATATTAATTTAAATGTTTTAAAACCTTTATATTTTATTTTTACAAATAGGTGACATTGAGGATTTCCCTGGCTTAGATAGCATTCCGAGTTTCAAGGTTTCTGTAACTAATGGCAATGTAAAAGTATCTGCCAAGAAGTGTGCTCTTGAAAATTCAAAAATTGTTAAACCATTAACTAAACACAATCCAGAAAATAAGCGTACATTCATTGTCATTGGAAGTGGTAATTAATTACTAAATTTATTTATTTTATTATAAAATAAGATTGTAAAATAATATTAAACTATTGCTCTAGGACCTGCTGGTACAGAATGTGTTGAGAAATTAAGACAAGAAGGATATGATGGTCGATTGATATTGATCACAAAAGACAGTTATTTACCATATGATCGAACAAAACTGAGCAAGGCTTTAAGTTCTGAAGCTACTAGCATATTATTACGTTCTCAATTGTTTTATGAGGTTAGATAATTTTATTAAATTTGGTTTGTGTTAAGTTTTATTTAAAAACTAAATGCATGGAAAATAATATTTTTTTATCTTTTTTAAAGAAAAAACAATATAGGTATTTCTAAAAAAAATTAATTTTAAGGTTAATTTTAAAAATGGTAATTTCCTCAACAATGTTTTTTTGTTATATGTTGAAATTTATCAATATGTTTTACCCTAAAATTTACATAAACCACCTAGTTTTTCAAAAAATAATAACATTTTAACAAATCTATAATTTTTTATTTTTTAGTCTGGAGATATTGAAATTTTAACTAAGACTAGTGTAGAATCAATTGACACTAGTGCAAAAATTGTACACTTATCAAATAATGAACAAATAACATTTGATGCTATGTTTATCGCCAGTGGAATGACGTAAATATCCATTGTATTTAAATAATAATTAGTATTTATTTTTCTTATAATGACTTATATTTAGGCCTCGTTCTACACCTGAAGTTTCCAAGTATGACAATGTATTAACTTTGCGCACAATAGATGATGCACATAAGATCTTTCAAAGTTTGTCTTCTGATTGCCATTTAGTAATTATTGGATCATCATTTATTGGTAAGGTTAAAATTTTAAAATTTCAACTTAAGTTATTAAAATTAAGTTAATAATAAACAATGAAAACATGTTTAGGTATGGAATTAGCTGCATCAAATTTTTCTAAAGTTAAATCGGTGCACGTAATTGGCCGTAGTGATGTACCTTTCAAAGAAAGTTTAGGAAAAGAATTAGGTGAACGGGTACAAGAATTATTTGAATCCAAAGGCGTAGTATTTCACATGAAAACAAGTGTAAAAAATTACATTGGTTATAATAATCGACTCTCTGAAATAGAGTTGTCTGATGGACAAAAGTTAAAAGCAGATGTTTGCATCATAGCCACTGGATCAAAGACTAATGTTGAATTTTTGGCTGGTTCTAATATTGAAATTAATTCTTCTAATGGTGCAATTGAAGTTGATAAGGTGTTTTATTTTTTCTTTACCAGACTTAATAAATGAGTGATAACATTAAAAAAATATTTTTCAATTTATAGAATTTGGAAACTAATGTGAAAGGAATATTTGCTGGTGGAGATGTTGCTAATGCTCCTGTCTACTCAACAGACATTAAATCTTCTTTAGGTCATTGGCAGCTAGCATCATATCATGGAAAAATTGCTGCTTTACAAATGCTTGGCAAAAAAACCCCCATTAAATCTGTACCCTTTTTCTGGACAGCATTATTTGGGACTAGCATAAGATTTGCTGGTATGTTTTATTTTTTATTATTTTTTTTTTTTTTTAATCTATAAATTAATTTTATGTTTTTACAGGATACAATCGAGGTTACACTGATGTTCTAATTAATGGGGATCTTGAAAATTTCAAAGCTGTTTTATATTATTGTAAAGGAAATGAAGTAGTAGCAGTTGCAACGGTTGGAAGTGATCCAATCGCTGCACAGTTCGCTGAGTTATTAAGAAGTGGTAGGACATTGAACAAAGATCAAGCAATTGACAATAAATGGTTAACCGAGGAAGAAGATACAGTTGTGTGCACCAGACTATGATTAGCTGTATTTTGAATTAAAATTATGATCTTAACTTTGTTACAATATTTTGTTAACTAGTAATTTAAATATGTTGCATATGTATTTAGATGTTTTAAATCACATTAATTTATTTTACATTTTATTTTCTTTCATACATTCAGAGGCTAAAATAACATGCAAATTATGTTATAATCAATCTAATAATTATATATTTGTAATTGAAGCTCTTAATAACTTTCCCAACCATCTGTTGACCTAAGATGACTTAAATGATTTTCCATCGGCTTGTGCTTAGCAAATTTCTCTGCTTGTAACACTTTCCATTTCCTCATCCATTTTTCAAAGCGCCCCTGTTCTTTTGAATGACCATATGATTCTTCCTGTAATTACAAACAGATTTAAATTCTTAACTATCTTGGTACATTATTTGAAATAAACAATACAAACACTAATATACTAATGTTTAACATAGTGTATAATGTATTTAACTTTTTCGCTACAAACATGAAAAATGTATATAATATCTATTTCAATGCATATTTACCTTAGTCAAATATGGGTGCCTAAGGTAAAACATATTTTGCTCTTCTCTTTGAAGATCTCTAAGTTTTTTATGTACATCTAATCCAGTGACTGGTTTGACTAGACGATGTTTCCTATAATAAATGAAATGAAGTAAGAACATAACAACAAAATAATTGAAAAATATTAATTAATTTTTACTTTTTAATTTCATTAGTTTAAAATATAAATTTTAAAAACCCGGTTTTTTCAAATGTAATGCACTAGGTACATAAATTAGCTGTAAAATAGGTAAGTAACAAACTTGCACTATTGAAATTAAATTGAACAAATTTTAAAGTAGGTAGGTACTTATAAACCGTGTATTACAAGAAACACTAATGTAAAGAATTGATAAGATAAATAATGATAAAAATATTTTTGTCATAAAATTAAAAATATTTAGGAAAATATTCATTAATAATCATATTTAATGATCTAAAAAAAAAACTACAAAAATAACAAGTTACTTATTGGTTTTAATAATTAAATTAGATTATTTTACACATTAAATTCAAATAGTTAAGTTACAGAGTTAGTATGCATTAAAACTAACTAGTTAGTGCCCAACTTTAGCTTATTGTGCAAAAATTGTATAAATGTTAAACTTAGATAAATAAAATAATTACTTATTAGTTATTATTAAGGCTTGAACTTAATATCATTGGAAATTACTGTAATCCAACTTAATAAATCTTCAAATAAAATATAATAAATATTACTTATTAGATAAGCACAAAAAATATTTGATTTAAATAGTTGTATTCAAAATGTTCTTAATAAAACAAAAAAAAAAAAAAATTAAATACTTTAAATATTTAACAAACAATTTTTTAATTGGAATCTTTGATGTATAATAAGAACTTATATTTTATAATTTGTAAAAACTCTAGAATCTGAGACTTGCAGATATTATTCATTTTAAATTTAAATAAAATAAAAAAGTCTATAAACTGCAACTTACAAGTACAAATAATTGTAGACAAAAATATGTAACGACTTATATGAGCATATACATTATTAGGTACTCAAAAATTATTAATGTTTAGTATTTTTCTAAAGCCACTAAGGTCAAGAGCAACACTGCAGTGGTTTTCAACAAATGGTCTGCAGCATAACATTAATAGGTTAACAGTTAGTGTTGATAATAGTTTGCCATAGTTGAAGTATACAAATTTAAAACTATATTACTATATATTTTAGTACAGTACAACACATTTTAAGCAAAAAATTAGTAATTGTGAATAGTACTTCAAATTCTTTGTAAACTTGTAGTAATTTATAAGTTCCATACTAATATGTATCGATAAGCATAAAATTATTATTATTATTAATTTAACTTAATGTTAAATAGTTTTTAATTTTATTTAAAATAAATAATAAAATCTTTGAAATATAATGATTGAAGATTTAGTATTTAAAATAAATATATATTTTTTGAAACTTAGCTACATACACGAATAACTTATTTGACAATACTTAAAATGTATCTCATGTTAAATTCAATTCTTACTTGTTTTTTTAATGAAAAAAATAAGAATTATAAAATTCATAGTAGCTTAAGTACTTAAGTGTTTCAGGTAGCTTAAGAAATTAGTCATTCTAATAATAATATAAAATATAAATAATTTAATACTAAAATTAACCATGCATATACATTATTTTTTAACTTACAAATTCTAGCTTTCATAATAGTAATGTATAAGTGGTTATTTACTTAAACTAAAATTTATTATAACAAATTAATAGCAAAAACTAGTAACATAATATTACATTTTTAAGTATTTTATATAATTTAGTTATCTATTATAACACTGTATCTTAACATAATAATTACTATAGTTAAGTTTTGAATTTAATTGTACATACCCTTTGAAAATATGACCCCTTGGTAATTTAGACAAGAGCGCATCAGTTAATCTCATTTTGAATTATTTAACACCTAGTAAATTTTTTTAGTTAAAAAGTTAAAGAAAAATATTATAATAACAAATTACGAATTTGCAAGCTGCGACTACATTTATACGATAATTAATCAAGTATTCAACCACACGGACCGACGCAATGATAAGCACTTACAGTTATCTTTTTTTCGGATGGACTCCGATAAGCATATATTATTCTATGATAGTATCTCTTGAAGTTTATAGATAAATGATAATAATATCATCTAATATCTATTTACATTGGGGGCTTCAAACGTCGGTACTCGGTGGTCAGCACTCAGCAGTCACCTATTTGGTGTGTAACTCGGTTTGTTACTCTGTTAGTCACTTAATAATACAACAGTTAAAATTTTTAGACTAGAAGTTTGATGATTTTATTTAATTAAAACTCAAAACAGATCAATCAAAAAATTTTTGAATTTTGAAAAATAATAATATCAGGTAAATATTTATGCTTACATATTTTAAAAATGATTTTTTATTCAAACGTAAATTATTTGTCAAGATAGGTTTGTATAAATTTATGATTATTTTTTTAATGACCTCTATTTACTTATATTTATAGGTATATTCTAAGTCAAGGTACAATGAAGTGTTTTTATGAAGTGTTGGAAGTGTCTCGCGATGTCTCTGCGGATGATTTGAAAAAGTCGTATAAGAAATTAGCGTTGAGGTGGCATCCCGATAAAAATCCAGATAATGTTGAGGAAGCTAAAGAACAGTTTCAATTAATTCAGCAAGCATATGAGGTACTAGGTGATCCGCGTGAACGTCAATGGTATGACAATCACCGCGAGTATATTATTAATAGTGGTGATACACCTGTTAATGAGCTTAATCTTTATAAGTATTTTTCACCTTCTTGTTATAAAGGCTTTGGTGATGACGATAAAGGGTTCTATTCTGTGTACCGTGAGGTATTTAATACATTATTAGTCGAAGAAAGTGTCTATTTCGAAGTGGATCCTGATGAGATTCCAACATTTGGTCGATCAGACAGTGACTATGCTGATATTGTACGACCATTCTACAACTTTTGGTGTGGTTTTAACACACATAAACCATTTGGATGGTTAGATGAATATGATATACGACAAGCCCCTAACAGACGTGTGGCCAAATTAATGGAAAAAGAAAATAAGAAGATTCGCGATAAAGCTAAGAAAGAACGTAATGAAAAAATACAAGCATTGGTAGAGTTTGTACGTAAACGTGATAAGCGATTAAAAGCATATGCAGAGACGCTTAAGTTAAAATCAGCTGAAAACAGTAAGCGAATGGAAGAAGCTAGACGAAAAAGAATTAAAGATAAACAAAAAGAAATGGCCAATTATAAAGAATCTGATTGGTCTAAGTTTTCTAATGTAGAAGAGGAGTTAAAGGTAATTGAAGAAAGCCTTATTGCTGAGTATGGTAGTAGTGATGAATTTGAATCAGATGATGAAATGGCTAACTGTTTATATTGTGTAGCTTGTAATAAAGTATTTAAAACAGAAAAAGCATTTCAAAACCATGAAAAGTCTAAAAAGCATAAAGAAAATATCGAACTCATCAAAGTTGAAATGTTGAATGACGAACAAATGTTGAATAATGAAGAACCTAATAGTAATAAAAGTTATTCTGATGACGATTGCGAAAGTCAATCTCATGAAGAAAGTGTTGTAGACGAAGCAGATTATGATAGCTCAAATAGCAATGCGGAGTCTTGCAATAGTTTAAGTAGTGAAACTGAAGCAATAGAATTTAGTACAAATAAAACAAAGAATATCAATTTACCAAATGTTCAGAATGATGTTGATACAGATGATATATTAGAAGCTGATTTAAGTAGTGAAGAAGAAACATCAAATATAAAAAGAAAACCTAGTAAAAAGAAAAAAAAAGATTCACAGATCGTTGATGAAATTAATGTATTATATTGTTTGACGTGTGATCAATCTTTTAAAACCGAAAAAGCTTTACATAATCATCAGACATCTAAAAAGCATAAAGACAATGTTGTATTAATAAGTGCTAAAAATACTAACGATGATGATCATAATCTTGTTTCTAATGACACTGATAATTATTCAGCGCTAGAAGTAGAAACTAAAGTATCATCAAAGGAAAATCAACCTCAAGTTGAATCAACAACAGAAAAGTCAACAAAAAACAAAAAAAAACCAAAAATAGTTGAAACCCCCAAAATTAAAAAGTCTAATCATGTTTGCGGTGTATGTTCATCAGTATTTTCATCAAAAAACAAACTACATCAACATTTAAAAGATGCAAACCATGCAGTTTTAAAAACAGTAGTTGTAAATGACCGCAAGTGTAAAAAAAAAGGAAAATAATTGTTATATAATTATTATAACTAATTTTTTTTTTTTATTGTCATTGTGATTGATTAATTAAAAACTTTCTATATATGTGCAATTATTATTACTTATTTTCTAAATTTTATTTCATGAAACCTTAATTGTTTTAAAAGACTATAGGACGTACATTATATTAAGTATATGCTTTATTCTTAATTTCAATTTAGATAAAAAAAAAAATAAAATTCAGTATAAAACACATTTATTTATTTTATAAATATCATATCAGAATTTTTATTACTAGGTTTTTTGTTACAATTAGTAGATACTTATGCACAAACTGTATAGTGTGTATTGTACTCTAAAAGTTAAAAAAATCATGTACTTTTATTATATTATGTATTAATTTACTCATATCAACAGTTGCCAATTTTGTCATTCAAAATGTTGTAAGTTATTTATTTTATTTTTTTTTTAGAATGTTTATATATTAAATCATATTTACACGTTAGTAAATCAATTAATTATGCTTCTTTTATTGTCTATTTAAAAATATTAGATAGTGCTATTATAACTCAAAAGCTATAAATGTTTAGGTAATTTGTAAATTATACACACTAAGAAGTGTAAATTAGTGATTTGCAAATTAATTCAAGGTTTTAACTTTCAGGTTAAGAAAGTTTATATTTTATATAATAGTAATTTTACTAGTTAATTATTCTATACCATATAATATTTTGTGGCCCTATAGTCTATAGAAAGGAGCTCTTATTAAACACAGAAATTAAATTATTAAAAAACATAGCATACTAGAATTTTTTTTTTCATATATCAAAATTATTTTCAACATTAATTAACTTCTTGAAATGTATGAAAATATGTAACATGCGACTTAACAGATGTATAATTGGGAGTTCTTAAGCTATCAGGAGACTGTGGGGGGGGAATAACATTTTATTGGCAAATTTTTGTCTGTGATGTAAATAGTTGATTGCTTTGACCCTGTAATACCAATCTGGCAATCCTTTTTCTTGGGTTCTATAGCAATATAGCATACATCGATACATCACTGAGTAGTTGGTGTAATTATAACTTGTAAAAACAGAACTTAGTATTAAAGTTCTACTAGTACCTATAATTCATAAAAAATTTATTACAAAATATGTAGGCCTACACTTTATAATTAAAGTTTAGTGATTAGTAATACCAGCGACGTAACCACAATATTGGGGACCGGTGGCAAAATTTTCAACGCTCCTCTCCCCTCCTGATCAAAGCATTATACATGGATATCTGAGGAAGGAGAGTGTGCATTCATCTAACTAAAATTATTTAATAAATTTTTTTTTAAATATTATTGTATGTCTTATTGATTTGAAATGTTATAATAGTTTAAAAGAAAAAAAAGTAGTAATAATTAATAGTTTATAATAAATTATTTTAAGAAATCTATTATATTACTTCTGATTTCAGGCTCCCTGAGCAAAAGGACTTTGGTACACCCGTAGTTACCCTCTACCCTCTGGGCTCTGATTTCTATGAGTTATGTCTTATGTCACTCAGTAATAAGAATAGAAACTATTTATTTTACGTAATCATTTTAAGTTGTTATAAGATTTAAAACATTATATTTTATTATTTTTAATAATGAAGTAGTCGATTAATATTTTACTAGATATCCCTCTTATGCCACTTAAAATCATATTTATGCTTAACTTATAAACTAGTAGTCCAAAATTTAATTTTTATTTCAATAAATACTTACTCCAAAAAAAAAAAATTCTAATTGGGAATTCAAAGTAAAAAATGTATTTTGTGATTAAAAAATAAATAAAAAATTTAATGAAAAGTGTTATTAAAATATTATAAGTTTTTGAAAAAATTACTGTCTAAAATTAAATAGATCACTCAGTATTACTAATCTTTAGACTGTATAGAAGAGTAGACCTAGTAAAAGTGGATGTATCTAAATTGATGCTAGTAGAGCACTATAAGTATAACACTATAACCATGCCTTAGTGTTAGATGCTAAAGTTGTGTTACAGTCAACAGAATAACACAAATTACCGATACTCGATAGCATTTATTATACTTATATAGTTGTTAATTTGTTATGTATACAGTACTTAATTTATTTACAAGTATGTACTGTAAAATGCAATTTATAACAAATGAATATAGGGATTGATGAATATAAAGTACGAATTAATATGCAATATAATATATTGTTTTTTTTTTTTACATTTATGGATGTTTTTATGTACATTATTCCACTAACTTACAAATAATATAAGTCATATTATTTCAAGCTAATAACAACAATTTCTTCTTTATTTGTTTTTACATACCTATTTGATGATTATTATATATTTTGACAAAATTTGATCTTTAATATTATATAAAACATTGAATTGGAATTAAATTTAATCATGCTGTTATTAAAACTTAATTATTAAGTAACTATAATAAGTAAAATAATATTTCGTCGAGTAAAAAGTTCTTATAATAAAATATATTGTCGACTACAAACCATTCGTTTTTTAGTAAACTTTCATGTTCATAACCTTTGGTAAGCAATTCCTTAAAAAAATAATATTTTTTTAGTACCTACCTAATAAAGTTATTTAAATTATTTTCATATCTAAAAAAATTATAATTAATAATTATCAAGTACACGATTTTATTGTATAGGTACATTTTTTTAAACTTATTTTTAGAAATTCGTTGCATACTTTCATAATTTTTAATTCATATATTATAGGAGTATAAATGGTAAATAGTGATACTTTTTAATGCATAAAAATCC